GGAAACCGCAGCTGTGGGCGCGCACAGCACAGGAGCTCCAGCTCCTGCTGTCCTCTGCTTTCTTCTCCTGGGGCCGAGGTGAGTAAACTATTTTGATTGTAAGAGATTTAATCATAATCCCCGAATACAGGAAGTTAATGGAAAAGTGGAATAACTAGTGTGATTCTAAGACAAGAGATTTGCGGCCAGAGACACACTAAGAAAATAGGAAATTTAGGTTCACGAATCTAGCGGTAAACAAGTTAAGACACCTCCCCGAGAGGACCCCCGGCCGGCAGAGGTGCACAGGAGCAATGCGTATCAATAACACCATTAATTATTATGTCAAAAACTGCTCGTCCCTCTAGAAGAATCTCACAGAAGCAGACTGAAATAGTGAAGAGACTGGGAGCAATGTTATCAAACAAAGCGTGCTCTACAATTCCAACCAACTGAAGACTCGGTCCACATCGCATAGACAGATGCCTGCAAGATCTCTCCCAAAACGAAGTTCACGGAGGGACACAGGCGAACTCCCCGCCATGGATTACATAATGGGTTAAGTGTTTGACGTCTCTTTTCTTGTTACAATAGGTTATAATACTTGTAAGATTTCAAAAGAACACAAAAGCTGGTGAAACAAAATAAGACAGCAAGAGGGAAATTTTGGTATACTGTGTTGCTTGACATGAAGTTACCAGCACTGTCTCATAAATAGTTCACTCTGGTCTGAGGATTCTAGAAAATTCCACAGATTTAGAAATAGTTAAATCATTACAGTGGTGCTATTTTCACTGTACTATTAGATGACACTTTGAGTAAAAGCTTTTTTCACAAGTATATTTCAGACAAAATAGCATGTGATCTCCTGATCATGTCCAGAATCAAGGGATTGGTTATGTTTTCTGGGAAAAAAATAGCAAATTTCCAAGTAATGATTTTATGGCTTTATTAATGAGGGATTTAGATGTACTGAAATCGGACACTCATTCATTCACTGACAGTATGCAGAAGCTGTTCAAACAGGAAAGCCAAGATCATATCGAACAACAGCCTCAAAAGCCTTCACTCTTGTTAGGTATCTGGGTTTTCTAACTACATAAATAATATTTTCAATTATATCTTCTTTTATTTATATTTCTGATTTGCTGAGAATTACCAGGGCTTTTTTTTAACATATGATACAGTTTCTCTTTTTAGAGATGTCCATAATCCTAAAATTCAAGCATACAATGTCCATAATTCTAAAAGATATCCCTGGAATCTTGATGATAAGAATGCAATGCTATTTTTTGGGGGGGTTCCGGTCGTGGGGCCTGAACTCTGGGCCTGGGCGCTGTCTATCAGCTCTTCAGCTCAAGGCTTGCGCTCTACCACTTGAGCCACAGTGCCACTTCTGGCTTTTTTCTTTTTGCTTATATGGTGCTGAGGAATCGAACCCAGGGTCTCAGGCATGCAAGGCAAGCACTCTACCACTGAGCCACCTTCCCAGCCCATGAAATGCTATTTTTAAGCTCCAGAGAATATTTTGTCTCAGACTTAAAATAATAACTTAAAGAAATAAAAGCAATGGTCAATTTTAATTATATTTCAAATTGGTGTTAAGATGATTATGTTATTCTAATAAAAATTCAAAGTAAACACAGCAACATTTAACTTTCGCCAGTGATCGTAAGTGCGGTGTTTGAGATACAGGCTGTAGCCCACACATCATCATCTACCTCTTTAATTTTTCAATGTATTCTTGATGAAGCAGATGAAAATGGTAACACTGTACCAAAAGGTGTTCATGAGTAACTCAGAAAGTGCCGATCAATGGGCCAGAACTGACATCTAATTGTCAAATGATTCACGTCTTTAAAACACACTATGTCCACCCTTCAGGGACTGAAGACTGCATGCAGGAGTATTTCTAAAATGGGCCTAACTTTCTGTCAGTGCTAGTGTCTGAACTTGAGGTCTTCCACTTGCTAGAGAAGTCCTCTACTGCGTGAGTCAGGCCACCAGCGCCTTTTGCTGTGGGGTCAGTTTTCAGGCAAGCTCCTGTGCTGGTCCAGGCCTAGGTGATAGCTCCAGCTTCCCTCCTACCCTCCCCAGCCAGCCCGAATGGCAGGTGCGTGCCCATATACCCCGCTCCTCAGAAATTGGATCTCACTCCACTTTGGGCAGAGCCAGACTCTAGCCGTGATCTTCTTGATTTCCTGTCCACAAAACAGCTGGGATTACAGGCAGGGGCCATCAGACTAGCTTCTTTGGTAACATGAAGTCTCATTAACATTTAACAAGGCTGGTTTCAAACAGCAATCCTCCATAGCCTGGCCTCCAGAGTTGCTGGGATGACAGCACAGAGTACACTCTAATATGGGCATATGTCAAGATCCTTATAAAAGAGTTTCTTATTATAGTTAACTGCAAGTTAGGGATAGAAGTTGGAAGTTATACAAGTAGAGATGATGGTCTAATTAATATTTTAACTGTATCACCATTTCTGCATCATTACTGTATAAATTACAGTGATAGCTTCATTAGGCTGTTTTAGAGTTTTGCAAAATTAGCTGAATATACAGCTACTTTTCCTAACATTAAAATGTACATTATGTTCATGATAAAACTAAATGCACGTTTAGCAAAAGTAGAAGAGCAACCTCAATAATTATTTAAACATTCTGATTAAAAGCAAGTAATTGGTGTCAATTTTTAGCTTCTTTAATTACATAAGGGATGTGCTTTTCAATTTAGAAGATGAGAATATTTCCATTCCTGATGATAAATGACACAATATTAAAAAAAAACATCACTTGTATGAACGAGAGGGAAAAAATGGTCCAAGAGGCTGGCTTCTGGTTTGTACTATTAAATAACAAAATTCCTTACTCCTATGAAATCAGGTCAAAGAAGTAATCCTAACAATAATTGCATGGATATGAAGTGACATGAAACACAATTAAACATGTACGAAGAGTTACCGTTAACTTAAGTACAAACTAGTCTGTTTCTGCTCATTTGTCATGCATGTTTTAACACCAATCTAAAGCGATAAGCAGTGTGAACTAGTGACAATGAATAATAATAATAATAATAAAGATGCCATTACTAAAAGGTAGATTTCTCACCATGTCCTGACAGCATACAAATGAGTCTGCACAGGTCTGATATGACAGGGAGGAGTTCTTGGGTTGCTAGCACCATGCATCTGTGCTGCCAGGTTCCATATTCCTGAAATCGGGATTCTACATAACGAGTCTGGGTTCTCAACACATAGAAGAATTTTCACTAAGAGGGAGGCAGGATGATCATCTGGTCTTATCAACAACTACTGTTAATGTGACTCTCATCAAAGAGGAAAGTTCATCCACCGGTAAAAAGATATTTACAATTACAGTTCTACATTGAAGTATAATCATCAAAACAGCAGCTCATTGAAGGCGTTAGAGACCAACTGATTCTCCATTGTATTTGAAGTCCATTTCCCTGACTAAATGTGTGGAAAGCAAGTGCTTCTGTTATTCGAAAACGTAAGTTTCAATCCCTCTCAACACCTTCTTACTTTCTGCCTTCAGATTATTGCTGATGCATTCCTACAACACAATCAAAATCTTAAAAGTGAGATAGCACTTCATTAAGCTACTAAAATTTTGGGAAAGGTTTATTTTTGATAACAAATGACAGAAGTTCAGACACCAATTTAAGAGAGAAAGTCGCTGTTCCTGGCCTCACTGACAAAGCTTTGGTTTGAGGCCGCTGGGGCTGCCCAGTGGGTGTGGATAGCTGAAGACTTCAAGGCCCAGCTTACCTCCCAGTCACCTGTTTGTGTTCCCATTGCCAACCCTCACTTCAACCCGGCTAAGCCCAGATCAGTAACATACAGGAAGTCAAAATTACTTGGTTCAAGTGCAAAGGTGCTATACTATGCCATGAAAATAGTGTGCGTAAATTATTTGACAAAGCTCAACAGGTTCTTTGATAAAATACCCTGTGACCACTGTGGCCTGCCCGGTTTAGCGTCTGTGGACACACCTGTCTACTCCCATCACCGGGCTGGAGGCCGAGGCTCAGCTGGGAACCCATTCTCCTTCACCCCCTCCTTCTCATCACCGCGCCTCACCGCCAGTTACGCCCTGCCCTGTTCTCTCCTTAAAGACTGTCTAGACAAAGCTTTCCTTGCTGTTCTATTAGTCACAAAAGAAATGATACATCTGCAACCTGTCGTTTCCAGCTGGTGGCCTGGCATTTGTTTTTCACATGAAGGAGTACATCATGGAGGAGGAAAGAGGCATCGTTGAGCCAGGAGCCAGGAGCCTTGACGTCTTCAAGGGTTATTTATGTGGTTAGACCAGGGCGTGGAGTTATCTGACATACCCATCTGCTAACTGAGCAGATTCTTGGGTGGGAGAGAACCAATGGGAGGATTTCTTTACCGAGAACTTCAAAGGAAGTCTACCCCAACCCTGGAAGTACTCCAACCCTCCACAGCAGGGTCTACAATGCTCCTCCTCCAGAGCGGGGTCCCGCGACTGCCAGAGCCAGAGCACATCAACTCGAGTAACAGAAGAAGACAGCTGCTGGGCCTCCACCGGCATTCCTCCACTCTGCTGTGCCTCGCACCCACCCCTTGGGCGGGGAGCCCCTCGCTGCTGTCTGGACCAGCCCAGAGTGTCTGACACCTCTGGGGCACCACAGCCTTTAGGCCAGAATGCTAGCTAGCGTCTGTCAGGCAAATGAGATCTCTGGGGATGCAGGGTCTCCTATGTGAAATCAGCCCTTGGGACTGCACGGCGATGCTAAGCAGGGGTGCCACACCCTCAGGACATGTGTGGCACGTGTGGAGAGGTGTTGGTGTTTTACACTGTCCACCAGGAGGCCCTAATCATGCAGGAAAGGGCTTTCCTACTGGCCTACCCAATCTCAAGTGCTGCCTGCACCCAAAGGTACCTTACCCCGTGTCTACAACCCACCTAGGATCCCCCCACACCCAGCACGGCGACCACGCTGACAGCCAGGACTGCGGGGCTCACACTTACTCAGATAGGGTGGTTTGTAAGGCGCTCGTGTATTGGACAGCAGTCCGTCCAGCTCCTTCCTCTCCAGGGTGCTGTGCAGGGCTTTCTCCTTGCCGAAGGTGGAGAAAGACCGCTCGGCCCCAGGCTGGGCTTCCGGAGCTTCGAACACCTCGGTGTCGGGCACAGAGTCCATGCCCGGGACGTGCAGGTTGCTGCGGTAGTCCGCGGCCTGGCGTCCGTCCGAGGGGACGAAGGACGGCATCCAGCACCGGTCGGAGTGGCCCAGGGCCTTGCACTCCTCCGTGCAGTTGGAGAAGAGGTCCATGCCTGCACGGAAAGCACAAGGACACACGCTGTGACACGCTGCGGTCTGGGCCGCCATGCGGTGGACACACGCCGGAGGGCCTGCCGCCCTCAGGAGGTGCTCCTGCCTCAAACCCCCGGGAGCTGAGCCCGCTGCTTTACTTCATCCTCTTCACCAGCTAAACACCGGCAAAGCTGCCGGGTCGACCCGGGTTCTAAACCACCCAGGTACAGAGGGAAAAGGTTTGCTCCGACGATATATGCACATATGTGTGTGTGAGGGAGGTGGGTGTTTATTTATTTACTCGTCTTTATTTGCAGTACATGGGCCTGAAACTGATGTCCAGGATATCTGCAGGATGAACTGATGATTCTCTAAAAGTCTTTTGTGAGGTTCATAGCAAAAAAGAAAAAAGGGAAAAATCACAAGTAAGCCCTCATAACCCACACTTCCCAACGTCATCTGGTGCTTCTGTTCTTAGACATCAAAGTGGAAGAACTATGCCAAGTGCTCCCAATGGCATGTCTGGTATTTCTAGACATAGAAGCTAGAGCTGAAGGGGGACCTGCGATCCATCAGCAAGATGGCTAACACGTTGACTGGGAGGCGTTAAGAAGAACGGTACACTGGCTGGTCAGCTGCGCGTGTGTTTTCTCAGCCCCCAGCAAGCTGGCTTTCTAACAGTAGTTCTTACTGGCTCTCTGGAGGTGCCTATTATTACAAGTCATTTATTGTTTAGCACCTTAGACAATGCCAGAACAAATGGCCTAATTAGAAACATCAAGGTAACCAAAAGCAATCTGAGGCAGGAGCAGATAATATTGACAAACAGCTTATTTCTCAATCTGCACTGTAAACAGTTAGCCCTCTCGGCCGGCACGGGCCTGCTCTCCTACTCCACAGTACCAAGACTTCAAATGACAGCCTCACTTTCCATTGTGTGGTTGGACAAACAGAAGTGTCCTGTGTCATCCGATAATGATTACAAAAGCTCTTCCCGTTTCTTAAGCAAGGAATTCAAATTTTTTAGTACTGCACAACACTGTTTACTTTTTTATTATTATTTTATTTTTTTGCTGGTCCTGGGGCTTGAAGCCAGAGCTGGGGCGCTGTCCCTGAGCTTCTTTGTGCTCAAGGCTAGCACTCTACCACTGGAGCCACAGCACCATTTCTGTTTGTTTTCTGAGTACTTTATTAGTACTTTATCTCACACATTTTCCTGCCTGGGCTGACTTCAAACTCCCATCCTCAGATCTCAGCCTTCCTACAGGCATGAGCTACTGCTGCCCAGGTATCTGATATTCATTTTGATATGTAGCACTACACAGAACACAAAAATGGCATCTCACTGTATTTCTAAACGTAACTTATTTATTCAACACGCTTTAAAATAATATTGAACTAAAATCACTGACCTATACAGATAAACCATGAGATGCAAAATCAAGAAAAACTGTATTTTTTAAACCAGAGAGCAGTATATATCTAGCAAACCTACCTGATTGTTACTTCTATAAATACCATGAACAGTAAGAGCTCTCAAAGGAAATTATCTTCTAAACTCCCAACAATATTTCATGATGCATTGATTTATACGTATTTGTATGTGTTAATGTATTCACAAAATAATTTTCAAACTTATGTGATTTCTATGTTTATGATAAGAGGTTTTGATTTATAAACAACCAATTACATATATTATTTCTCAAAAAGTGGCACCAAGCCCCTTGTCTGTCTAGCTCATTATGTAATAACTTTTCTTTAATTTTAAGTTAAACTATGTACAATGCTGAGTCTGACTTTGATTATAATATTCCATTGATAATTGTCATGCCTAAGCCTAGAAATAAATTGCTAAGCAGTGAACTGTTGAAGAGCAGAAACGTGAGCTGAAGCTGGGATTAAGGAGTCTAAGAGCAGCATGGCATGTATCAATGTTTTGAAAGACACCAAGAATGAAGCTCAGGCCTTAATCCTACCTCTGCAAAAAGGAGAGAGGGTGAGGGAGAGAGGGAGGGAGAGAGAGAGAAGAAAAAGGTAATGACAATGTCTCTGACACAGGTAGAGACCTGTTTATTTTACTTTGATAGAATAAACTATACATGAGCTATAAACTTTTACTGTTGTACTGGTGCTGAAGCTTGAACTCAGGCCTGGGCACTGTCCCTTAGCCTTTTCACTCTATATTGGTGCTCTATCACTTGAGCCACACCTCCACTTCTCACTTTTTTGCTGGCTTATTGAAGATAGGAGTCTTATGGACTTTTCTGCCAAGGTTAGCTTCCAACTATGATCATCAGTCTCAGCTCACCCTCCTGGGTGAGCTACTAGCACCCAGCTAAGGGCTTTGTTATTATTTCTTTACAGAAGAAGCTATTCAGTACTTGAAGAGTGGGCAAAATTATTATTAGCAATTTCTTTACTTACAAAATAAACATAAGATAAGACACTTGAAGACCTGGTGGTATTTAAGACAATCCTTTTGAGTGTTGAGAAGGCCGTGGTGCACAATTTGCAATTAATACAAGTTTTCTTCCCAGGACAGATGAATATCACATACCAAATAAAACCACACAAAGCCTTTAGCACATGCTTCCTCTGCCCACGTTCTCTTCTAATTCTGAATACTACAGTCTCCAACAGAAAGCTGTATTAAACTACTAAGAAGGCTCTGCTTTACCAGGTATCAGAAGGTTCTTTACATTTTATGCTCCTGTATGTGGATTTTCCATTCAGTTGTATTTTTTTTCTCTTAAGTATGTGCTTTTTTAAAAAATTCTGTCTTTCTCAATTAATTGCTAGAAATGAGTGAAAATTTCCTTAGGTCATGCAGAAAAGCTTGCATGACGAGATTCTGTACAAAGAGTACATGTCACACATGTAAAACAAGTATTTGTGCATATGAAGATTTTTGCTGAAAGACAATGTCTCGTGACGGAAGGGAAATGACATCCACGAAGTGCATTTGATTACTTCATGGATTAATTCTTCACAATAGAATTCCCTTAGTGAAAATACACGCAGCTTCTTATAACTAGAATGAAAGTGAGGCCTGTGGAATCTTGTCTGCTATTTGAGAAGTTTTATCGATCAAACTAGTAGATCTGCTTGCATGGGGAAAAATCAGACGTAGATATGAAAATGAAAAACATATCAATCAATAAACTTCAAATAAGTAACAAGAAATGAGCTGGATGATTTTTTTTCCATTGGTCATTCAGACAGACACTCTGAGGGCCAGATCATAGTGTTTGCCCACCCTGACTCTGGGGAGCTATCCCATGATGCCATTCTTCCTTTTTAAAATATGTTTATGATCTTTAAGTAGTTGTAGGAAGGAGTTGCCGTTCAACAAGGTGGTTTATGAATAAAGAGCACAATCCTTTTGTCTTTACTCTCACTCAATACACTATCCCTGTAATTACCAAATAGAGGCATGTTTAACTTCAGTTGTGTAAAAGGACCACAGTATACAGCATGTTGCTTTACCTTGAAATGTAAACACTCGTAACACCGACGTTGCTCTTAAAAATTCACTTGTGGTTCCCACACAATGCTGAACATTGAGTAAGTTAACTAGATTTTCCCCCCAATTCCCTTGGTACTGAAACTGTGCATTTTTTCAAGAGTCAAAAAATGTAGGCCAAACCTTCTTTGGAAGTTTTGGTACAATCTAAGAAACATCCCCACATGTGTTTGAAATCTCCCACTTCAGTTACTTGTCTCTTTTTACAGTTCTCAGAAATAATCTATATTGCTGACAGCTGATGTGATGGGCGGTCTGGCTACAACGGTACAGTCAGACAAATTTTCAAACACGTATTTTATGACTTGTCCCTTATAGTGAGAAGTAGGGAGTTCTACTGAAAACAAATTGTGATCTGAACAATGCTAGAACTGTACTCAATGTGTGTTGGCTCCTGATGATACTGATAATACAAATCATGTGCATATTTCTTTCTTGTGTTACAAGCCTCCAGGAAAATACCAAGTGCCAGTTTTACAGGAAACAGCACTCCAGTTATTGAGACACTTTCTTGCCTTGCTTGTAAATTCTGAACATGGAAAACTAAACAATACTGATTATATCTAGGAAACATCTCCTAGGGCCAGATTTTAATCAAAAACTTAAAATCCATCCAAATCTTATCATTACCTATCATCTATAAAACTTTATGGTTTTCTCCATTTTTCTCTTACATATCTGCTCTGATTCTAAGTCTCCTCACATTATCAAACCGTAGCTGGGAGACTCAACAGAAACCAGAGGAAGGGTTTTGTGAACAACGGGTCCACGTTAATTTTATTAGAAAGCTAACTTTCCAGCCGCAATGCCGAGCAGGAGCACGGATGTCTGCGTGTGTCGTCCCAGGGTGACCCTGAGTGCCGAGTAATGCGGCTGATCACACTCAAGGCACGGGGTTCTAAACTCTCAGCCGAGTTTGAACCACGCAGGAGACACATCTCCTCAGAATTCAGCAGCCAGCACCCCTGGGAGATGAGCTCCCTACTCCGGAGGAGCTGGCTGTTTCCAGCGGGACCAAGGCCAGTCAGTCCCCTGCTACCATGACCCCTTTTCAACATGTTTTAAAGGATCACGATCTTAAGAAAAAATAGATTCAAAACGAACTCTAATGTGGGCCTCCTACACCTGGGCACACTGTCCGCACAGGGGGACGGCCCAGGCCCGAATCGGGACCAGGCTCATGGGGACACGGAAAGGCTCCTGGGCATCCCGGGCAGCTGCCTGGATGTCCAGAGCCAGCTTGAACAAGACTGGGGTCCGCAAGGGGCGTGGCTAGGTAGAAAGGGGAGGGGGAGAGGAGGAGCGCAAAACCAGGACTCTTCCTAAAGGAACCAGTGCAGGGAACACGGAGCAGATGATCACACAAGGCCAAGCCACGCTGCGTAAGGTGGGAAGAGTTAACACACCAGAAGAGGTCCTTCCGGACCGGCTCTCTAACACCAGTTTCACTGATAATTTAACTCTCCTGCCTGCAGTGGAAAGTGGGATTTGCTTACTTGGTCTTCTGCGCTAACCTTGAGATGCCTACGAATGAATAACGCATCATGGTATGCATTCTCTTGCCTAATTTTGAAACTTTAGAGAGTCATTAGTACCTGATGTTACCAAGCAGCGCAACAGATTTATTGAAGCAAGTTCATCCACCTTGAAATATCATAGCTACTTGTTGTGAAGTTTATAACACACATCTCAAAGTACTATGAAAAGTTCCCAAATAAATGCATTTAGGACTTGAACTTAAATAAGGAAACACTGGCAATCGTCCTGACAATGGAATTAAGGGTATTAGACCTGAGGATGGTTCCCCACACGAACACGCCACCACCCCTCCCGGTGAGAGCTACACCGTCCCCCACACCAGTGACCGTGGGCAGGGCACCACGTGTCTCCCTGTAGTGACTGAAATAAAGAAAAGCTCTGGTCCTTCTGCAGTGCTTTCCTGTGTCCAAGAACTGAAGACAGAGGGAAAGAAAAAAGGAGAAACATTTGAATAGAAAAATAAACCGCCCTGCCTTTTTCACGGCTTAGCAGAGCACAGTAACGTGCACTGGCATCTCAACTACCTTGAGAGCAAACTCGTCAAAATGGCCGTGGGAGGCGGAGGGGTGAGAACACATCCTCCTCTCCTCCGCTCCTCCTCTCCTCTGCGCTCCTCCACAACGATGGGCATCCACCCCCTCTCCTCGGGCAGTTTATTATGGCTCATTATGTCTCGGGGACTAAACTAATTGAAATGTTTATTGAGACTATAGTGCTACAGGAAAAAAAAATTCAAAGGCAGCAGGCAAGAACTAAATGTGCCTAAAGAAACATGTCTCAGATAAGCTCCCTTTATATCAAACATTCCGACTGAAAACTTTTTAAAAGACTGACAGTTACATTGGAGACTGAAAAAGAATCGACGCCATCCATTCTCAACGTACAGTTTTTAAAAGAGAACAATAAATCATCTACCGCAAATAGGGCAAAAAAAAATGAAAGGGGCTTTGTGCCACGGTGTAACGCACTGGCTCGGCGCGGTTTGTTGTCGGGCTCTGAATAGACGCTCTCTGTTCAGTGGGTGCGGAGACGCACTAGGCCAGGGACCTCCGGGCACTCTTGGCAGCTCTCAAGTCTCATTAGGTCTGCATATTAATGACTCGGGGTGGTATAAAGGGAGCCTTGAGCTTGGCTCCCTGTCTCCTGCCCGGCTTCCCGAGGCTCAGGCAGCCATGGTGCAGCACCCGCCCCCTCCCAGGGGGGGAAGGGGGGAGAGGAAGGTGGATTCCACCTGCCAGGCCACCACCGTGGGGTGGGCACTGCCCTTCAGACTCCTCAGGCCCCCCCTCCCCCAGCACCGTGAGGAGGGCTGTGTGGCCTGAGTCGGAGCCTATCTCCTGTGACAATCAACTCCACTCTGGGGTGAGCAGAACACAGCCCGGACGGAGTGAACCCACACACAGGCACTACCTTGGCACCTCCGCGTGCACCCCACGCCCAGGAAACTCAGAAGCCAGGAGCCAAAGCCCAACTCTCCACAGAAGACACGCAACAACGCCCAGGGGAACCCAGGCGCGTGGAATCGCTTCCACTTCAAGGAAAGTGTTCAATTTCTTCTAAGTTGCCTTTTATAAAAGACCTTATACGAGCGAAGACCGAGCTTGGAGAAGAAAAATTAAATGAAAACTAAACGGAAACTGTGTGGCACACTGCAGCTCCCGTCACACTCACAGACATACGAGATCAACAGCTTCTGACGGATCAACAGCCCCAAGGGAAATATGGAGAGATCTAGCGCTGTTCAAAAACGCCTATTATATGAAAGGTTTATTAGGCCAGCAGTCCTGACGGCCTAGGGCCGAAGCCCTGTCCTTAACGTCAACCACCAGGCCCTCTCACGTCACGCTCAATGGACAAAGCGCACTGCTCTGGAAAGCATCTCACCAGAGTTCTGGTCTCAGGCTGTCTATTTATCTCCCTGTGACCTTGCGCAGGTCAGTCATCCTCATTCGCCCCCTGTGCCTCATTGATAAATAAACCTAACAGGAACTCCCTTAGGTAGGTGAAGGCAGGAGACCTGACCAGGTGAGCAAGCCAAGACTACCTGTGGGCAAGGTCATTTCCCCCATCATCATCCCAAAAGCAAGATACCCCTCACAGCTCTGTGAAGGACAGGTCCCCCTTTCCCCTCTTCTCTGACAGTCTAGGTGGATGCCAGCTCTAGAACCTCCAGCCTTTAGGATGCAGAGAGCAGCCTGGAACCGGACCTTTCCCAGCCATCCCCGTTCAGAACTGGAAAGCCCGCGTGGGCGCAGCGTGGCCACCACTCACCAGCTGACTGGCCGCGGTTGGTGGCGTCATGGTCACTGTCTCCCTGCTCGCTGTCCCCGTGGCCACTGTCCTTAGAGCTCACAATGTCTGCTTCCTGGAAGGCAGAACTGCAGGGAGGAGAAGACCACTGTTAGAAGAAAACGTGGAGACATTCTTCTGCCACCACATGGCCGCAGAGAAGCGCTGCAGAGGACGGCCTGCCAGGAGAGCCAAGTCCTGGGAAGGCCATCACTGACAGCCACTTTCAACTCAGCTCCTCAGACTGAGGATGATGCACTGACTCCATCTTGCACACAAAGCAGACATGGAGCTGAGGTGGGAACGGTTACAAGAACTATCCGAAGCGACCAAGGGACTGCAGCCGGCAGATATGCTGCCATCTGCACAGGGATAAAACATTCTGTTTCCAACTGACTGTCCTGGAGCCTCGTGGCCTTCGCATTTATGTCTGGCCTCATTTTAAAATACTCTGTCGTACCTTTTCTCTTCCCTAACTCAAGATACTTCATGCACCTTATCTTTTAGCATGGAGAAGCATACCTGCTTCCTTCTGCTTTGGGGAGGTAGCAAACTGTCCACTCACTGAGCCAGGAGAGAAGGGAGGGTGCATACCTGTTGACCCGGCGTGGTCTGTCGACTAGATAGCTGAGCTCCGTCCGCTGGTGTTTCGTCTAGGAGAAAGAATAAATAAGTCAAGAGCATTTGGATGCTCACGGTGTGCCTGTGGAGAGAGGCACCAGATCAGTCCCGGCGGTGTGGGGTATTCTGGGCACTTCCCCAGGACCTCAGCCTAGGGCCCTGCTGGTGAGGGGGGGGGCAGTGGAGACATGTATAGCCCATGATGTGTTTTCCAGGCAGTTGCCAAGACTGTTAAAGATGTTGGTCAAAATAAATGTCTCTGTGCACGTTTTAAAGGGAGAATGCAAAAGCCCTCATAGCCGAGATTCATAGACTCCTGTCTGAAACAGAGTCAGCCCAGCATTCTCTTCTCCTCCTCTCAGTGACACCAGTGTTCAAGCGCATTCTGGTTAACCCAAGAAAAGCAGCATGCTCAATAAGCAAAAGGGTTGGCTGTTTCAAAGAAGTATTCTGATATTCATTTTCCCAGGGTGCTTCTGATACAAATGAGCTATACAAATATTGGGGAAATCAGCGAGTAACATGTGAGACTTGGACCCAGCCTGGCGCTGCCAGTCCTGCCTCAAACCCACCTTCCCCTCTCCCCATCCCCAACTTTTCTGGTTCAAACTTGGCTTGACCCACACAAACCCTTCCTCTCCATCCCCAGCCCGCCTCCCAGCTCTGCCTCTCCTCCATCTTAAGAGGAAGGAAAACATAGGCTTGATAAGCCAGCCCAGGTCCCTGGGGGAGAAGGCCCAGAGGGCAGCAGGCTATGGGGAGCTGGTGGCAGGGCCTGTGCCTGGTGACCAGGCTCTGGGCTCCACTGGGGTCCGGGCAGGGGTGGGGGGGAGAGCTGCTGCCAGGAGGGCTTCATTCAAATGCAGGCCTTGTGGGCTGGGGGCCTCCAGGGCCTGGAGAAAGGCTGTGCTGGGCGCAGCCAGCCGCGTTTGCAATCACGGGTTAGAGGAAAAGGGGGTCGGAGGCTCAGCCCCGCTCCCGCTCAGAGGCCTGCCTCCCCGCCGGCCCGCTGGGCCGCCTCCAGCCCCCTAGGGCTCCGGGACGCCCAGCCCTGGGAGCTGGGTAACCAAGGCAACGGAGGAGAAGCAACTTCACCGGGGCCTGGGATGGAGGCCAGGGGAGAAGACCTCAGGTCCGCCCCCAGGCCGGCCCGCCCCCTCCGTCTCCCTCCTCCCTCCCCTCCGCCGCCCTCCGTCCCTCCTTCCCTCCCTCCAGCCTCCCCGAGGAGGCGGGGACTTGGCCTGGGAGGAGGTTGGGCGCCGGCGGCCCCGGGGTGGCAAAGCGGCGGGGAGAGGGAGGGAGGGGAGCACCCGGGCGGGAGGAGGTGACCGCCCCCGCCCCGTGCGCGCGCACACGCGCACACACGCGCGCACACGCGCACCCA